TAAAACATTCCTAGCAGCCACAGCCATCCGAGGTTCTTCATTGCCAATGTTTCTAGAAGAAACACCTTCAAAGCCTTTCGAAGAATTATTAATAATTTCGTTGTTCGATAAAAACATATCCTTTGATAAATTTGTTTGAACTGACGCAATTAAAGAAGCGTATACACCCGCTTCCCGTAATCCTTGCATAATCACCTGTTCAAACATTGAATATTACAAATTAAATGAACTATTAGAATAGTCTGCTTTTGACACACGGGATTGTCTAAAGGGCATTTACGTCTTTTTTACATGTGAGAGATAGATAACGAGTCACTATCTCACAATTTTTTGGTGGGGCAAAAAATTGTATGTTTTGTCTTATTGGCAATAGTCTGACTGTCTGAGTCCAATGCAGACCAAATACAGTTCAGTCAGTTGTGTCATGTCACTGTCGAGGAAATTGTATGTACCATTGGAGCGTAAATGCGGATTAGAATTCCCTTTTTCATGAGTTTCTTTTGTAGCTCTTTGTCGGTCCATACAACGTGTTCACGGTACCTAAAGATTAAAACGTTAGATGGAATTACGGGAGGAATGGAATCGTTCATTCCAATGGGAAAAAAATGTTTGTTTCGTCTGATGGAATGGAATGGATTATTTGTTAAAAAGTTTGCAAGTGATCAATTATTTATTTATGTAGCTTTTAATGACACAAACTAATTTTAAATTTCATGATTCTAATTTATTTTCAACTATATTTTTTTTAATAACTAGAAAATATGGTTTTCATTATAATGATATTTGGGTTTTAGTGATGTTTTATTACTTTCAAGTTTTTTAAATTTGTAAATAAAAAAAGTATTAAAAATAATTAAGTAATGTATAGTGTAGAGCTAAAATTATATATTGTATCTACATCTACATTTAATCTAAAAAAATCCTTACAAAAATATGGTTCTCATTAGTGATGTTTTATTACATTTCACTCCATGAAACTACAAACAACTGGAGTCCAAATTTTGTTGATTATATGAAATCCCATTATGAGTTTAAATTATGAAATAAAATTTAGTAATAATTCTTACCAATTTAGCATCTCCTCCTCTGTTGCAGTTGAAGCAATTATAAAAGCCTGCAGCAAATGATGCTCTTAATTTATTAGTTTACATCATGTGAATCATCCTTAATCTCTATTCATGTAAATTACCAAGATTACCCCTGGTATGAAAGGTGAAAGAAGCTTTAATACTTACAGCTCTATCGAATTCCAACATGAAGCATCTTTTAACCTCTTCTTTTGTAGGCTTGCAGCCACATCGATCACGCCTTGATGTCAAATCAGAAAACTTTGTATACGTGTAATGTAAAACAGCAGCCTCATCAAATTTCACCTCACTAAACACACACACACACACATAATAAAGTTAAAACAGAAAGAACGACTTAACACAAAAACAGGCTTTTACCACAAGTAGTAATAGTAAGTGTGATATATACACTGGAGTCTTCATATAGTTATGCCATCTATGTGCACCATTAGGGCGTAAATGTGGCTGAACACGTGCAGCTGATTTCCCATTTCCATATGTTAAAAAGTAATTTGGATTACCACGTGTTGATTCTTTATAATTTCCAAAGTATGTTTCCTTCATAAGGTGATCAAAATTCTTTTTGAACATTGACACCTGCATAAAAACATATATTCAGTTTAAGATACATATGTTACAACTAGATAGTAAATTAAGAATTTGTATTAAGACAAATACCTCACTAAAAGGTTCTTTTATGTCATCTTTTTCAACACTGCTCTCCTGAAACAATGAGGGGAAACATTGGAATTTACAATGAGCTCTAACAAAGGGTTATAATATTGTTGTATATTGTTTGTACAGAGTGGTTATGATGTAAATTTAATATTGAAGCATCAATCACAAAAAAAAAAAAAAAAAGCTACTTGAGAACTTACATAGTTTGGAAAGACAACTGTATCAACATTTTCAGAGACTCCAGATAAAAGTTGTCTGAGAGAGTATTCACGAGTGCCAGCTGGATGAATTAATTCATCTGTGTCTAGATGAAGAATCCAGTCCATATCGGTTTCCTTGAAATGCAATAGAAAATGTTAAGAGCTTCATAGAAATGTCTGTATGCATGCATATAGATTAAAGAAAATGTTTTCAGAAAGGATGAAAAGAAAAAAGGTCGTTATACCTCTGCCATGGTAATAGCCATTTCCATATTGAGAGATTGCTTGACAAATAATTCATAGTTGCATGGTTTGTAGAAGAAGCTTGACAACCAAGTTTCGTTCCAAATTCGGCTGATGATTCAAAATTCAAAATTTTACAGAAATTTGACAAAAAGAAGTTCAATTTTACAATATTCATAAGTAGATTTAGAAGTTAGAACCTTTTGGCTTGCTCTTCCTCGAGTTCTTTTGTCCTATGAATCAGCTTCACATTCTGTAGTTCAGTTAATTTTGTTTTGTAAATGTTACTCTTGGACAAAAGATACAATCTTCTAAATTTAAGGGAATGCAAAAGAGAAATAAAGTCTAAACTTACAGGAATGGACTCTAGAACTTTAGATACACCTGGACTTGCAGCTTTTCCTTCCACAAACAAGAAGAAGTTTGTAACACCAATAACTTTATGATAGAATATCCATGGTAATATTTGTTCTAAGCCAGCGGAAGTGCTTGAAGTAATGCATATCTATCATTCAACAAATTACAGATGACATTAGTCTTGAGGATAACAGAAATCAAGCACATTTAGTACTCTCATCCCCAAGAATTAATCATTCGTCAAAATGAAAAGAGAACTTGTTTTCACCATGGCATCATGCATGAAGATGGTGAAGCTACAGCAAAATATATGCACCTCAAATCGCATAAACAGAGAGAAATTTACAGTTCATTAACTTACATTTCGTCATAGTTGATTAAATCCGTAGCTTAATTGAACCACATTCGATACAATTCCGATTAAAGAAAAGAATTATACAATCCTAGATATTGGGCACGAAATTGTACGTAAACACCACGGATTCATTCACATAAAATCAATCCAAATCCAAAATCAACTAGAGAATCGATTGATGACAACGATTTATACCTTAGGTTTTAGATCGGATTCGTAATTGAATTTCCAATCCCTAAAGTAAGGAAAAGAAATAGAACGGCTTTGCCCCAAGATATCCGCGCAACTGGAGGAAGTGCGGGAGGTGACTGTGGAGGAGGTGGTAGTATCCATACCCGGAAAATCAAGGCGATTTATAGAAGACCATCGGATTGTCGGATCACTGATTTCGCCACGCCATTGGAGGACGAATGCGAATGCTGCTAGAGAGAGCGGGAGGAGTGTGAGTAAGAGTAAGATTCTGGAAGTGAAAGCCTGAGAAGATTGCGATAATGATGATGACGATGGGCTGTATTTGATAGATGAATAAAGACCCGTCATTGATGATCAAAAATGGTGATACCTAAGGTTTCAAAATCATGGTATGTGTGGGTTTATTTGAATAGTAGAGCGATCATGGAAGGAGAGAAAGAGTTTCAAATGGCCTTTACGAGTGAGCCGTTTTGTAGTTGGTGACTTGGCGTAAAATCTTTTTTATTCTTTTTTTCATTTCAATTTAATATAATTTTTAAAACTTTATATTTATTTTTGGATTATTTTGTCGATAAGTTTTTTTATTAGCAGCGAGCCAAATACTAGCAATAACCAAAATAAACAAAAGTCCAAAACTAGTAAGAAACTAGCCAGCAAAACTTGCATTATGAGTTAAATAAAAAAAAAACAAAATTTATATATAAGTTAAATCAAAAAAGGAAAGTTTATACATGAGTTAAATAATAAAAAAATAACTTTTAAGTTAATCTATCAATCCTATTTGATACTTTGAGAAACGGACATAAATCAAAAGATAGCAAAAATCGAGTCATAAAGGGTATCTCTTTTTTATGTTTACGTAATAAAGCGAAATAATCCACAAAGTGGTAAGAATAACATCAAACTTTTTTTTTTATGAATGCCTTCAAACGACAATTATCAGCCAAAGAAACCAACACCCTGGTATGTGTAAGCCAATCAGAATATTTCACCACAAACCACCTTTAGACTACAAACAAATGGTTACATGACTCCACATATTGTTTGCAAACAGGACAAAGAGCATGTTTGGCTTAGCTTTTAAAATAACTTTTGATTTTAGTTTTAGGAAAAGGGCCAAAAAGATGTTTGGTAAAATGAAAATAACTTTTATAATCAACTTTTGCAACAGAGTAAAATGAATCTTTTTAAAAAGTTACAAAATCGTGACTTTTTCTAACTTTTCAACATGTAAAACCATTAATTACCTTTATACCCCACCTACCCTAATCAATTCACAGTATCCCTCATTATTCTCTCCTTCTCTCCGCTCACACTTTCTTCCCTCTCGCATCTTGCTCGATCGATCTGCCTGCAACACCGGCGATCTTGCTGCAACGCCGACGATCTTCCTGCTACACCGGCGTATTCTGTCTCCATCGCCGACAGGTAAGTTTTCGTTTCTTTTCCAGTCGATTTCCAATGTTACAACATCTTTCTGTCGATTTTACAATCGATTTTACAATATCTTGCTGTCGATTTCCAATTTTCAGTAGCAAAGACATGTGGTTTTTCGATTTTCCTTGAAGTGTTCTTCACTCTCATATCTGCTGTGATTTGTTCCTCCTAATTTTGAAATTGATATTCTGTGATTAACATACCTTTGTGAAATTGATGAAATATGGATGAAATATTGATTAATAATTAGTGAACTTGATAAAATATGGATTAATAATTAGAGAAATTGATGAAATATGAAGCTGATAGAAATTTTTTGTTTTGGGATTGTGTTAACAGGTAACCAATTTCTGTGATATTATGTTTTTCTGTTTTGTTTAGAATTTTGATAAATGAACGAAATCATTTAGTAAGGTTAATGAAATTGGTTTGTTGTTTAAATGTTGTACTATATGTAATTCACAGATAATGGATGAAAACAACACTACAATTGTTGATTGTGAAACATCTTTGAAAATGAAAAAACCAAAATTTGGGTGGGATAATCGTACATTCATGGTGTTTGTTGATTCATGCTTGATTGGAAAAAAAAAGGGCGTAAAGCCACCGGCTCCTTTGATAAAGTTGGGTGGGAAAATATACAAAAACGCATTAAGGAGAAAACAGGTTACATCCTTGAAAAAAAAAACAACTAACAAACAAATGGGAGAACATGAAAAAAGAGTGGAAGCTTTATGACCGCTTAATGAGGCTTGAAACCGGACTCGATGGGACGAGAAGCCTAGTAGATGCGTCGCCTGAGTGATGGTAGGAGAAAATAAAGGTATGATTATTATTCTTTTTAATTATTTTAAGTTATGATTGCATATAGATTGAACATATTTGATTTATAATATCTTTTTGTTTTGTAGGAGAATAAAGATTATGCCAAATTTAGGAACACAGATTTGAGCATATTTGATGAGAAATATGCTACTTTGTTTCGGGATTCTGTTGTCGTTGGAGATCAGACTATGACTCCGTTACAATTTCAAAACAATAGCAATCCAAACGAAGAAAATATGGAGGGCAAAGGAGATAGTGATGAAATCAATTTAGATGATGATGAGCCTCTTTTTCCTAGTCTCCATGAAAGTAGTTCAAGTAAAAGGAAGAGGTCTAAGTCTATTTCCAACAACCGTCCAACCAAGAGTAGAAGTTCAATTTATGAAGAAAAAGTTGATGCTTTATTGGATGCCATATCATCAAAAAGCACACAAACTTATCCACAAAATAATCCTTCCCCAACAATAGCAGATTGCATGGCCATTGTCATCAAGTTTCCCGAGTTTCATGAAGGGTCCAACGAATTTTCACAAGGATTGCTTGTCTTCACCAAAAAACAAAATCGTGAAGCTTTTATGTTTCCAACGGCCAATGAAGCCAAGATGGAGTTTCTTAAGTTACTTATGAAATAATGATTTAGCAATATGTGTTATGCTTTGACATTTATGTTTTATGTTTTGACATTATGTATTGTCCTTTGACATTATGTATTTGACATTTTATATTATGTGGTATTGTTTGTCTTTATGTATTTGACATTTTATATTATGTGTTAATGGTTGACATCTTTTTATTTGTATTATGTAGGATGGATAGTGATGATTCTAATTCATCCGATGATAGTGAACAATGTTGGGTGGAAGAGGATAGAGAATTTGAAATGTTATGTGGATTAGCTTTGAAAGGGATAATGATCGCTCGTAACTTACGTACGCCATGTCACACTTCAGACCGCACAGGGCACATGTTTATTACTGAAGTACTAAATGGCCATCCTAGACGTTGTTATGAGATGTTTAGACTCAACGTACCGGTTTTTAGACAGTTATGCATAGATCTTACTACAAATTACGGGCTACAACAAACACGAACTGTATCTATTGAGGAGTCTGTAGGAATATTCTTGATGACTTTGGCTCATGGGTGTAGCAATAGATTTGTGCAAGAATTTTTTAATCATTCGGGGGAAACGATTCACAGGCATTTCCATACAGTTTTGGAAGCCGTACTAAAACTGAGTGCCGACATCATCAAGCCAGACACAAACTATAATAATGATGTTCCCGAATTTATATTAAATAAGCCTCGGTATTATCCAATGTTCAAGGTATTATCTGTAACGCCTGTGTTTCCAGGCTTGCCATTTTTAGCAATGTAACGGTCTAGGTTAACCTTTGTAACCCGTTTTGAAATAATAAGATTGTATTATTTGAGTATTATGTGTTTTGTGCTTAATTGCTTAATTATGTGGTTTGATTAATTAAGAATAAAAATAAGCGTCAAAATTTAAGTGTAAATTAAACTTGATATCTTTAGATAATGTTGTAGTAGTTGAAATAAGGTTTCCGGAGATATAAAGAATGCCGAAATCCGAGTTATAACGAGGAAGTTATGACCTGTCGAAGTTTCGCGACAGAACCGGCAACGCTGGATAACGTAAAAAGTGAGATTTACGTTAAAGCGATATTTAGCCTTAGTGATCTAAACAAGAATCGAAGATCTCGTTGTTAGTATCAAAGCGATAAAAAGTTAGGCGAGAACGGACGTCAAACGAAGAAGTTATGAATTTATAACGAAATTTTCTGTCCCGGCCTATTAAAAATAAATAATAAAAATAAAGTCAAAATTAGCCGACGGAGTCTAAACGAAAGTTGTAGAGTGTAGTCTCACCTTTCCGTGGATATAAAGAACGTCGAAAACGGAGTTCGTATGAAGAATATATGAATTTCCGAAGTTTATTAATTAATTTGTATTTATTTTTAATTGAAAATTCGGAAGCATTATCCGAAGACGAGTCACAGATCTGATCCGAGGTACGTGCCGCGTACTCGAGTACGCCCCGCGTATAGCCAAAGTGTCGACACTTCGGATGACGCATGCAATGACGCATTCCGGAAGCAGTACGCGCTGCGTACTGCTGTACGCCCCGCGTAAATGAGGCTTCCAGCCTCTATAAAAGGGATCTGAAGGCAGCCGAGTCTTTTGCCAATTTCTTCCCTTCTCTCTCCTGTTTTGCATCGTTTTGCATGCCAGAAATATCCCGAAGCCCCGGTAATATTCCCGAGTCCCGAAGCGAGTCCCGAGATCCCGAAGATCCCGAGAAGTGCGGTTTCCGAGCCGAAGCTCTGCCTGCGAGAAGTTCGATTTTCGTAGAGATCTTCCAGATCTGCTGAGGATTACGACTTCTGCAAGCCGTAGTGCTGTCCGATCATCTTCTGATCAAGTGAGTGTATACTACCTTTCATAAATGCAATAATAATACAAGTATGGTTTGAGTGTATTAAGTTTATTGTCGTTTATACGTGTGAATGCATTGTTACTTTCTTCTAACGCATAATTATGAAGTATTTTATACGAGATACGTGTTATGTGTATATTTTGTTGTTATGTGTGTGAATGTATATTCACTTTCTTCTATCTTACAGATATGATTATTTCTATATGAAATACGTGTTATGTGTGTGTGCCTCATCTGTTATATGGAAAATGTATTGATCAAGCATGCTATACAGGTTTTGAAAATATGTATAAAAATGTATGTTTTTATCTACTAATATGTTGGGTAGAACATGGGTAGATAGTTGGTGTGTAATAAACAGATGAGAGGCCTCGTTGTTGTTTTGATCCAGTCATCTAGCGGAATTTAGATGACGACCACGGACTTTTCTAGATAGTCCAGTGGAACGCTAGCAGGCTCATAACCTGTAGGTGTTAATGAACTTGGGTGTTCATTCGCTGTATTCCATCCCCCTCATGGTTGCCTTATTTGACTTATATTGCTGAGGAAACCCCGCAGCATGTGTTGTCACCCCGATGAAAATATTCTTAGATTAGGTCCCTTGTGTTAGTTATTTTAGGGACATAAAGTGAGAATAACGGGAATGGGTAACTGGGTTATTGTTGGTTGATAATAATTAATTTAATTATTTATTGTGGGTTGAAAACCCTATATGCTCACCAGGCTCCCAAGCCTGACCCACTCAGTTTTATTTGTATTACAGGAAGTGGCGCAAGGGCGTAAGATGGATGAACCATCAAGTTGTTTTGTTTACAAGTCTGTATATGTATATATTTGTTGAATGACTTGTAATGTTATCGTTTATGCTTATTGGTCTATATCGGAACATGACACCCCGAGTTTTGATTATATAATGAAAAATACATTTCTTTTATGAAATGCTTTGGTAAACATTGTTTTATCATGTTTTGTTTTGGGGAAAAATTCCGCAACTCTTTCAAATCAAAAGGATTTACTCTGAAATATTTTAAAAGCATAAATGAAAATCGGTCTTTTCTGGCCGAGATTTTGGGGATGTCACAGTTGGTATCAGAGCATTAGTTTAAGCGAACTAGGAATTTTTAGGATTTCTAGACTTAAACTTAGAATGCTAAGTGGAATTTTGAGATGTGTGTCCGTTATGTTTTAGACACGAGCACTAGTTTATTTTAGGAAAGTTGCCTAAAATGCTTTATGTGCTAAATGTTGTATGTTTCCAGATATGATATTATTTGTTCGGATCTATGGTCTGTTGCCAACCGGATCTAGAAACTTTATGTGTGTAGGATTCTAAGCGTACGTCTACGATATTAGAACTAGCATGTAAACGTTTCGGAGTGATAAGGATGATTTGAATATCTATCATGAATAAGGATCTAATTTCACCTTATTCGGTGTGTAGATCAAAAATGGTGAGAACAAGAAGTGGAGTTGGAAATGCTAATGAAAACAGGAATCAACCACTAGTGATTGAACAAAGACCTGTTGTAGCAGCAGCACCTGAGCCGATAACAATGGCCGGTGTACAATTGATGATTCAAACGATGTTGGATCATCAAATGGATGAAACTAGATGGTTGCTTCAACAAAATCGTGAAGAATTGTCAATTCGTGTGGAAGAGCCTGAATTAAATGAAGGGCACTCGGAAGGTGGAAACTTCAGTAGATCAGTTGGTCAAGCCAACCCACCGATAGTTAGGCAAGATAACCGCGATGGAAGGAATGATGGAATGGGTTGCAAGTACAAGGACTTTTTGACTTGCAAACCATCGACCTTCAATGGAAAGGAGGATCCGATTGGGGTTATGGATTGGATCTCCGAAATGGAGCTAGCCTTCATGACGTGTGGCTGCAGAGGTAAGTTGCAAACTATCTATGCCGTGCGTCAATTCCGAGGTGGAGCCGTTCGTTGGTGGAACACTCTAGGGAAAACTTTGAGCCCAAATGAGCCACTGCAATTGTCATAGGCAGAATTCTTGGTGCAGTTCAAGCGTAAGTTCTGTTCGGCTCAAAATCTATTGGAGCTAGAGAACAAGTTTCTGACACTAACGAAAGGCAGTATGTCAGTTGATGAATACACCAACAACTTCACCGATAAGATGGAGTTTGCCTTGCGTATCGTTCCAGACGAGCTGACTAAGGTGGATCGGTATGCGAAGGGACTTCCATGGGAGTACGAGGTGCCAGTACGTCAGGCACTTACTCTAGAGGCAGCTATCTGGGCTGCCAAGTCTGTTGAAACATGATAAAGGGAGAACCACCAACAAGGTTGAGGTTGGTGAGAAGAGGAATTTTGAGGGAACATCTGGTTCCGGTAAGAAAAGCAAATTTTCGAAATCTGATTCGAAAAGGTTTGGTGGGGGAAAAGGAGGCGAAGCGAAGTGGTGTGAAAAGTGTAAGAAAAAGCACTTTGGGAAATGTAGCGAGGATGTAACTTGCTACAAGTGTGGAAAGGTTGGACATTTTGCCAATGAATGTCCGAACAACAAAAGGATGTGTTTTGGTTGTAATGAAGAGGGGCACATTTTGAAAGACTGTCCGAAGAAGAAGGAGGCAGCTAAGCCCAACATTCCACCAAAGCCGAAGGCGAGAGCATTCCAGATGACACTGGAAGCTGCTAAGGATGAAGCTGATGTCGCTTCAGGTACCTTTCTCGTTAACAATTTGCCTGCCCAAATTTTATTTGATTCTGGAGCCAACTACTCCTTTATATCGCATGAATTTGGTAGAAAACTAGCTTTGCCTGTTGATAGACTAGATAATGCTTTATTAGTCGAAGTTGCTAGTGGCAAGTTTGTACCTGTTAGCCATCGTATGAAAAACATCTTAATCGACTTGAATGGGAATAAGTTCCGCGAGGAATTATTGCCTATCGAACTTAATGGTTTCGACATCGTGTTGGGAATGGATTAGCTCAGCGCCAATGATGCCGAAATTTTATGCAAGAAGAAGATAGTTAAAGTAAACCCGCCTGGAAAAGATTCGTTTATGGTGTATGGGGACAAACGCAGAGTGAATTCTGGAATCATTTCCCTAATGAAAGGCAGAAAGTGTTTGACCAAGGGATGTACGTCATATTTAGCATTCGTAATTGATGCTAAGAAGGAAAAGAAGGTGATGCAGAGTATTCCTGTGGTGTGTGATTATCCGGAAGTATTTCCCGAAGATCTTCCTGGATTACCACCTGATCGACAAGTGGAATTCCGTATTGACTTGTTACCAGGAACCACGCCAATAGCAAAAGCACCTTATCGATTAGCACCGACGGAGATGAAGGAGCTAATGATGCAACTTCAGGAGTTGTTGGACAAAGGTTTCATTAGACCTAGTTCATCACCCTGGGGAGCTCCGATGTTATTTGTAAAGAAGAAAGATGGAAGTATGAGAATGTGCATTGATTACAGAGAGCTGAACAAGGCAACAATAAAGAATAGATATCCGTTGCCAAGGATTGATGACCTGTTTGATCAATTGCAAGGTTCGAGCTATTTCTCGAAGATCAATCTAAGGTCAGGATATCATCAGCTGAAAGTAAGAGAGCAGGATATAGAGAAGACTGCATTCAGAACTAGATATGGACACTACGAGTTCTTGGTTATGTCGTTTGGACTAACCAATGCTCCAAAAGCATTCATGGATTTAATGAATAGGGTTTGTAATCCGTTCCTTGATAAATCCATGATAGTGTTCATCGACGACATTCTGATTTACTCAAAAAGCCAGGAGGAGCATGGCAGACACTTGCGAGAAGTGTTAGAAGTCTTGAAGAAGGAGAAGCTGTATGCTAAGTTTTCCAAATGTGATTTTTGGATTCGTGAAGTCCAATTCTTGGGTCGCGTGGTCAACCAAGAAGGGATAATGGTTGATCTAGCAAAGATTGA